CTAAATTAATATTCTGATTATCAGCTATGATAATGAATGAATGCTTTGTTGGGCATACACTGGACTTCTACTATCAATATAAGCTTTGGTACATTTTTTTCTGGCTATATTTATTATAAAAGACCCATCTTAGACAAACCCCTCCAAGAACACCTCCCTAATAATTCCCCTAGGAGAATTATATATGGATCTAATCTAGATGAGTATTTTAGATAAGTAATGTCTAAATATAGCAATGGATGAAAGTATACCCAGAAGAAAAATTAGAGCTTCTAGATAATAAAATAGTAGAAATACCTAATTCATCTGATCAAACATATCATAAAGTACAAGTGACAGTGGATGAAGAAAAACATATAACTAGCTTAATAAAAAATTATGATAATACATGTAAAGGGTTTTTCAGTTGGCTGGCATGCTTGTTCCCCTTGGACCCTTCCTTGTCTAGTGTTAGACATTTTCTGTTCCTAATCAGTGTTACTGGTTTAATATTGTAGCTTTTGTTCCTGGCATGTAAATGTTATACTAGATGCATAAAAACAAAACTTAAGACAAGCAGCAAAATTACTTGAATCATGGTGGCTCAAAAATTAGAACTAACCCACAATACATTTTAACAAGGACATATAGGCTCTGACTGCTTCCCATTTACCTGCCTTTTATTTTAAATTAGTGGCCCGGTGCATGGATTCATGCACATTGAAAGGAAATTAATTAGATGAAATATTTTTAAATTGCCAGTGCATGTCAGACATACAGCTGGTCACTTAGCCTTTGATAGATAGAAGATAGATAGATAGATGATAGATAGATAGATAGATAGATAGATAGATAGATAGATAGATAGATAAGGGTCCCAGAATATGAGAGGGCACTCTGCAAAGTTGCTGTCGTACAGGGTGTGGAACGCAAAGGCACATGTACAGTAAACCAGATTCAGGGCAGACAGTGCCACAGAAGCAACATAACCCAAGGCCAAAGGTGGAATCGCACAGCCCCACAAAGAATTGGGCTCCATCCTCTCTGGTTCCGGGGTGTGTCACCAGAGAACTGCCACTGCCAATTCACTGCAACTCGGCAGCTCCTGCATTGAACGTCTGCCCCCTGGTGGTCATTGCACATAACAAAACAGGAAACAGAAACAAAGCCATAATTGAAAAGTTATTTTATTTTTAGCCAATCATTGATGAACCACTCTCCCTGCTCATGAGGCGAGAACGGGTCACAGAACTGCTATGGCGGGAGAGTTGGTCACGAAACTCTGAGGCCATGAAATAATAGAGAATTGGATCCAAAAGGCAGCAAAGACTTGCAAGGCAGAGACAAAAAGGGTGAAAATAGTGTGTGCTTTTGACAATGGAACAACTGCTAATGATATTTTCCTTTACCATGGTGTAAAAAATAAAGTTAATATGATAGGGAGTGAAGCATATGAAAAAGACTGCAGCACACATGAAAACCATACGCAATGCTTTCTGCCTCTCACTGATTCCCTGGAAAGCCACTGGTGGCTGCCTCAAGGATATGGTGGTTTTCCAGGTACACCATGCGATGATGATGACTGGGATCACAAATCCTGCCAGCTCAGCAACTGTAATCATCCCAACCAAAGCCATTGGATTCATTTCCTTGTATCCAAGATCAGCAAAGCAGGATTCAGTATTGTTGGCTAAGTCTGTGCCTCTGTAGATGGGAAATGGCAAACAGGCAGTGCCCACGATGACCCAGATGGCAGCACTGATGCCCACATCATACCTACGCTTCCAATCGGCAGCCACAGAGAGGTTGATCATGAAAATGATGGCTTTATTTTTCTTGCTGATGAAGCGGCACAGAACCCACAAGGCTACACTGTTAGCCAGAAGACCAGGGATGAATATGAGGATGTAGGTGGTTGCATAGAGAGTGTACTGAAATGTCAAATTAGTGACATTGCACTTGGTCACAGCATCGCTAACATTGTTGTCATGCATCTTGAATATTTCAGTATATTCATTAAAGTAAGTCGTAGAGTTATGATCCCTGCCCAAACCAAAGAAAAAAAAGTTTAGTGGTTAACCAGTTCTTTAGCCAACACCAAGATTTATTTTCACATTTGAAAAAACATAAAATATTATAATTAGAAGGGACCAGTTTGCAGATGAATAAATAAATGCTCAAGGAAAATATACTATTGATCTAAAGTCACCCAATGAATTAGTTAGAGAAACATGGAATTACCCCCAAACTTCTTTCCCAGATATTGAAAGATGTCTTTTGCAGGCAAGGATATTCTGAAATAGTCAGTCTACTGTTCTCACCACAGCAAAATGGGTGTGACATTTGAGTTTCTTTTGTGTCCAAATTTATCTTGCAAAAGCCTTGGTTAAAGTGAATACTGCTCAGTCATTCTCATTTGTAATGATAGAAATCTAGCCTCACCTTTTATGTCCCTTTGCCTCTCCTTTGTCTGCTACCTTGCCCTTCGGACTCTGACTTTCTATCTTGACACCACAATACTTGGAAAATGGCCCTGCTTCTCTTGGCCTGCATTTCCAGTATCCTGGCTGATTTTCAGTGGTTAGGGATGTTATCTCCTCATTGTTCTATCACAATAGCTTGTGTTTCTCATGCACTTTATGTCTTTCTCTAGAATTAGGTCCAATTTGAAATTTACATCAAAAACCAAGTAATAGTATATGAATTTAGAAGCTGAACTGGGATCTTTCCCCTTATGTGGTCTGGAAGAGAAGAGAGTAATTCTTTGTGTAATTCTGTACTGGTGTAACATCATAGACATGACAGATTATCCAACAGTCAGAGTAAATATTGATTAGGGCACCAGCAATACAAGCCACCAAAATCATTTCTTGGAAACAATTTAAAAGTTAATGTTGTTGCTTCTTTTCATTGAAGTAGTCATCATAAGGAGTAAAAGACCTTTGGACTTCTTTAATCTTATTTTATGATTTAGTATGGTTTCTATCATGTGTAGTGCCTGGGAAATATAGAATATTTAGGACTTCTCAAGGTCTGGCTGTGGATTTATTGGGTTTATGCAGACTGTCTACAAATAAGAATGGCTAAAAAGCAACAAACTTATTATTTTACTTTATCTCTCTTGTAAAATTTCAGACTGGAGAGGAACTTTGAAAATCATTTAATTCATTCTGCACATAATAGTGGTAGAAGAAGCAAGGCTCAGGTCATTAAAGCCACAAAGCCACTGAACAGAGATCTGGGAATTCAAATAGGAGGAAAATGTGCTTAACATTTATACACATTCTTCTCTTCATCATTTCTTTCCCTTTCAAAGACAAATTTTACAAACATAGCTTCTTTCCAATTTGCAAGAATGTTTATTACAGTTAGAGCTAGAAGTGGAAGAAATAATCCAGTGAGGTTATTCCTTGGGTGAAGTAAGGGTTTTTGTTGTTATTACTTTTATTTTGTTTTGATCACTTTAAGTTTATAAAAAGGGAGTGGACAAATGTCTATTCAGGTATTCAGGTCCTCTGCCCACTTTTTTTTTAAAACCCTTGCCTGAGGATATTTTTCCATTGATTTTTAGAAAGAATAGAAGAGAGAGGGAAAGATAGAGAGAAACATCAATGTGAGAGAAACACATTGATTGGCTGCCTCCTGCGCAAGCCTTGATCAGGGCCCGGGCCAGGGAGGACCCTGCAACCAATGTATGTGCCCTTGATTGGAATCAAACCAGGGACCCTTCAGTCTGCAGGCTGACGCTCTATCCACTGAGCAACCAGCCAGGGCCTCTGCCCACTTTTTAAATGGATTGTTTTGGTTTTGAGTTGTATGAGTTTTTACAAATTTTGGATATTAACCCCTTATCAGATTTATCATTGGCAAATATCTTCTCCCAGTTCGTAGGTTGTCTATTCATTTTATTCATGGTTTCCTTTGCTGTACAAAACCTTTCTGGTTTGACCCTGATAATTCTGCCCCCACACATAGTTACTGTAATATTATTGACTTATATTCTCTATGCTGTACTTTACAATCCCATGACTATTTTGTTTTTTGTTTTGTTTTTCCTATGACTATTTTGTAACTAACCATTTGTACTTCTTAATCCCTTCACCTATTTAACCCAGTCACCGAAACCCCTTCCCCTCTAGCAACTATCAGGCTGTTATTTTGAATTAGTGTTTTGGGTTTCTTTGGATATACCCAGAAGTGGAATCGTTGGGTCGTAAGACAGTTCCATTTTTAATTTTTAAAGGATTCTCCATACTGCTTTCCATCGTGGCTGCACCAATTTACATTCCCACCAACAGTCCATGAAGACTCCCTTTTCTCCACATCTTTCACAACACTTGTTTGTTGTTTTATTGATGATAGGCATTCTTATAGGTGTGAGGTGGTGTCTCATTGTGGTTTTAATTTGCTTTTCTTTGATGATTAGTGATATTGAGCAACTTTTCATATGTCTATTGGTCACCTCTATGTCCTCTTTAGAAAGATGTCTATTCAGGTCCTCTGGACATTTTCTAATTGGATTGTTTTTTAGGTGTTGAGTTGTACGAGTATTTTTATCAATTGTTATATTAACCCTTTATTGGAAGTATAATTGGTTAATGTATTCTTGCATTCAATAGGTTGAAATTTAATTTTTGTTAATGGTCTCTTTTACTGTGCAAAATTTTTTAGTTTGCTGTAGTCACATTTGTTTATTGTTTCTCTTTTGTTTCCCTTGTCGAAGGGATATATCAGAAATAATATTACTAAGAGCAATGTGAGAGAGTTTACTGCCTATGTTTTTTATCTAAGAGTTTTATTATTTGGGGTCTTACATGTAAGGTTTTATTTCATTTGAGTTTATTCTTGTATATGGTATAAGCAGGTGGTTTAGTTTTATTTTTTTCATGTATCTGTTCAGTTTTCCCAACACCATTTTTCTTTTTCATTTTTAATGTTTACTTAAATCATTTTTTTATTTTTCAATTACAGTTGATAAACAATATCATATTAGTTTCAGATATACTGTCCAGAGATGCGACATTATATAACTCACTAAGTGATCATTGCAATAAATCTGATACAATACATAGTTATTCCTGCCTTAACCCCATTATACATTCTTGCCTCCTTTTTCATATATTAATTGACCATATATATGTGAGTTTATTTCTGGGCTGTTATTCTGTTTCATTTATCTATATGCCTGTTTTTATGCCAGTACCATGCCATTTTGATTACTATAGCCTTGTAGCATAGTTTGATATCAGGTAGCATGATAACTCCAACTTTGTTCTTCTTTCTCAAGATTGTTGTGGCTATTCAGCATCTTTTGTGGTTGCATATACATTTTAGAATTATTTGTTGTATTTCTGTGAAAAATTCCATTTTTATTTTGATAGAGATTGCTTTAAAATTATAGATTGCTTTGGATAGTATGACCAGTTTAACAGTGTTAATTTTTCCTATCCATCAACACAATATATGCTTCCATTTATTTGTATTTTTTTATTCATTGTCTTATAATTTTCTGAGTATATGACTTTTACTTCCTTGGTTAAGTTTATTCTTAGGTATTTTATTTTTTAATCTCAATGGTAAATGGGATTGTTTGTTTGAAAGAGATATATAAATGTCAATGATGAGAGAAATTAATTGATTGGCTGCCTCCTGCATGCCCCCCTACAGGGGATTGAGCCCACAACCCAGGCATGTGCCTTGACTAGGAATCGAAAACCATGACCTCCTGGTTCATGGGTCAATGCTCAACCACTGAGCACACTGGCTGGGCAGATATTTTATTTATTTTATTTTTTATGCAATTATAAGTGGGATTGCTGTCCTAATCTCTCTTTTTTATAGTTTATTACTAGAGTACAAAATGCAACTATCCTGCTACTTTACTGAGTTCATTTATCAGTTTTATAGTGTTTTGGTGAAATCTTTAGGGTAAGTTATAAATAATCATGGGGTGTAAAATACAGCATAGGGACTATAATCAATAGCCTCTATATATAAAAGGCCAAGCCACCAAACCACTGGCCGACCAGCCAGTAAGTATGATGCACACTGACCACCAAGGGACAGATGCTCAATGCAGGAGCTGCCGAGTGACAGCAACTTTTCAGAGTGCCCTCTCGCACTCTGGGAACCCTCAGAGGACGTTGGACTGCTGGTTTCTGCCTGATCCCCACAGGCCAGGCTGAGGGACCCCACCTGCCGGAGGGACCCTGCCAGCCCTGAATGCGCATGAATCTGTGCACCAGGTCTCTAGTATTGTTATAACTATGTACGATGCTAAGAGTGTACTAGACTTATTGGGGGGATCACTTCATAAATTTTTAAATGTCTAACCACTATGCTATACACCTGAAACTTATATAAAACAGTATGAAATATTAATTATAATTGAAAAATAAATTTAAAATTTCATAAAAAGAAAACAAAAACAGGAGATGCCTGCTTTTAGATTCTCCTTGTAAGTAGCAGATTGACTTTCTATATTTTTTAAGTCCTTCTCCAGGAAATAGGCTAAAAGAACAGGATCCCAAGTGATTAATTGACAGATAAAAGAGAGCCCACATTATGAGCTACCGTTACTCTAAAGAGTGCTTTTCATTTTTTCTGCCCCTTATACTAGTATCCCATTCTTTCAATTTGAACTATCTTTGATATGTTCTACAAAAACATGCAGTCTTCTTAATGCATGACTTACAAAAGAGGATTGAGGAATTCTCATGGGTAAAAGACGGGAAATACTAGTAATTATCATAGTTTGACTATCAGTGATGTACCGCCGAACCTGCAATGGATTTTTTTATATGCATTATCTAATTAAATTCTCACAACTGTCCTCAGAGGTGGGTACTATTATTATTGTCATCATGCAGATGAGGAAACTGAAGTTCAGAGAGGTTCAGTAAATTCCTGGGGTAACAAAACTGGAAAATGGTAAAAATGAAATTTACTGTCACACCTGACTTGACCCAAAGTCTACAGTATCCTATTTCCACTACATCGCTTGCCTCTTACTTCTCAGGAGGTACTAGATAATAGAATGGGGT